AAAATATTGGCAGCTTTGTTCTATATAATCATAAAAATTGGGTCTAAAGTACATAAGGTGCGGGATTAGCATCTCCAGGGGACGCCATATTCGATACCATGTGTCCTGCACCTGTCGATGATGTCGCACTAGATGATTGGCTGGATGTACGACTTACGGAAGTTCAGTTACCACGTTCATAAATTAAATTATTAGTCGACTATTTTCTATGTCGACGTTGTCGTGACGAGTCAATCATGGGTCAATCATGGTAGCCCAAATCTTTTCTGCATTGTCTTGATGGAATTAACTGAAGGACCATCAAAGTCTGACAACTCGTGCTTTCTGCTCCACAGGCAGCGCTGGACTGACCATAGGGCATAGCGGGCAACTGCCCGCTGGGCCGACCCTTTCATCTTTTATGGGCCGGTGTCTGTTTTTATTTATTTATTTATTTATTTTCCTGGCCTCTAGTTGTTGCAGACAACTTGTCCGCGCCGCCCCACGCGACGCCTCGTAAAAGTTGGTGGATTGGCCAATTGGTAATAATACACTCTGGGCTGGACCAATAGCCAGAGGTCTGATGCACCCGCCAGTTGTTTGTGAATCTCAGTAAACAGACAGACGAGCATCTCAGTAAACAGACAGACGAGCTTAACAAAATGGAGAACAAAAAACGGAAAGGAGGAGCGGAGAAAATTCGACTAAAAAAGAAACTGGCCCTTCAGGCTGATGCTGGCACATGTGTTAAAATCTCACAGTTGTTTGGTAGTGAAGGTTCAAGTAAGATCAATTTAGGAAGTGATGGAGCCTCAGCCCAGCGACAGGTTGGAGAAGAAAAGAGGGAGGAGGAGGAGAAACCCGAGCCGGTGTTGTGCCATTAATCGTTTCGCTGCCAAAAAATGATTAGCCACCGCGGGATCGCGCACGGTTAGGTAATTGCATTTCTAGACAAAATTCCCCAGGATTTCGCCCTAAAACTCAGCATATCTAGCAATATGGACATTCAGAAAGCAAAGATAACCTCTTCCGGTACTTAAACAGATGTTTATCGCGGATATTAGTGTGGCAGTGTTTGTGGCACCCTGCGCGGGAGCACGAGGACGTGCTTGTGGAAAGAGGGAGGAAGATGTGGCAGTGTGGTGAGCATCCACAATGTCCCGATTGATGATGTGCCCTGGCTGCTTGGTTAAGGAGATGCCCCTTTGGCTGACTGGTTAGAGCGTATGACTATCACCCGGGAGTCTGGAGATCGAATCCCGCCCGGCACTCGTTTCTGCACCTTGCCACATTAGTTTTTCCAGTTCGGAAGTTGTTTTAAGTGTTGCTATTTGTCTTAAACGTTCACAATGAGGATATATTAATCATTTTTGCAATATTTGCGATTGAAAGATGGTTTGTGCCACAAACTTTGTGATAAGAACTGGCTTTCTTTATGTTACAGCCTTGATACTAAAAAAATAAATAAACAATGTAAAATGGCACCCTGTATTGAATGTAAACGTTGTATAAATGGAAATAAACAATTCTCCAGCGATTTAATTTTTTCCCCTTCCTTTCTTTAGTCCACTTGACATGGAGCCACAGTTAACTAGTTTGGGGCACATTTTTACTTGAAAAAAAGTATTTAAAATGATCAAGCTTTGGCTTTACAATGACACTGTGTAGGTTGCTATTCATTACATTGCTCTATTTAAAAGTAACAAGATAAAAGCACTTCAGCACATAAAATTAAGATTGTCACTTGCCAAATAGACTACACCCTCCCGTTTACCTATAAGAAATGCCTCAAAATATCTTTAAATTCTTTATTGATGATTTAATTGTAGACAACTAAAATGGCATTTTACTTGCCAAAAAGTGATCGAATTGCTAAGATTTTCATGGAGGCTAAAATTGACCAAATAAGGGTTTTATGTTTTATCTGTTGATGTTACTGTACTCATACTGCCTACTGTATCATCATAAACACCCCAAAAATGGCACAGAAAAAAAGAAAAAAAAGAGAAAATAATTTCCCTTGCCAAAAATTGATTACAGTGTCCTGGTCACCTGTAAAGGGTTACATTTACCTAAATATTACTTTATTTATTATCTCTTGATGTTATTGGTGCCATCACAGGATGCTGGGTGTCTTTCACATTCATAAACACCTCAAAAATGGCAACAAATGATCATTTCCCTTGCCAAAAATTGATTACAGTGTCCTGGTCACGTGTAAAGGGTTAAATTGACCTAAATATTACCTTATTTATTGTCTCTTGATGTTATTAGTGCCATCACAGGATGCTGGGTGTCTTCCACATTCATAAACACCTCAAAAATGGCAACAAATGATAATTTCCCTTGCCAAAAATTTATCACAGAGTCCTGGTCACCCATAAAGGCTTAAATTGGCATAAACATTACTTCATTTATTATGATGCTGGGTGTGTTCCACAATCATATTCGAATAAACATGAAAATATTCCGTCCGAATATCTGTTTCTTGTTATAAATATAACAGCTAGAAGGATTTACAGTTAAAATAGGAGAAACACGTGACTCCCCAGGAAGGGTCGTAACACCACTTGCCTCATGCACATAAGTGAACAAAACAAAGCAGCATGGAGACACTCCGTCTCCAACCACCTCTCAGGCAGCAGCCTGCACTCCCAAGTTCTACACGTCACCAGAACATAAACAACCGCAACACAATAAAAGCAGTGTTATACAAAATGGAAGGCCTGTAGTGTTTATTCTCTTACAGTAACAACTTATCATTTTTTTGGAGGAATTTATTTGAGAATTTTTTGGTTTTTAGTAATTGTGCAATAGAAAAGTAATCGCTAGATTAATCATCTAAATAGTCATTAGAATAGTCGACTATTCGATAAAATAATCATCAGAATAATCATTTTAAAAATAATCAGTTACCCCCAACCCTACTTTTTAGAATACCAGGATAGGAAGGATGGTGTAGGTTTACGTTTATTAGATTGATACATAAATACTACCAATAAGAAAGTGTACGTTGGTGTGTGTCAGAAACAGCGTAAGGCTTAATGTCTTTTCCAAAAAAAACAGGTGATGGGCCGGTCTCCAGTCAAAATGCCCGGGCTGAATTTTTGTCCCAGTCCAGCCCTGTCCACAGGAAACATTTGCCATAATGTTAAACTAGCGACAGTCATGACAATATTGTGTACAACTACCCTGAAATGTATGTTCTGCTCCTAGCACCAGAAAACTACACACCTGAGCCTATGTAGGGGGAAACAATGCAGTTACATGGAATTAGTTTGGAATCTGAAAAATGATGAAGATTCAGTCTTACATACTGTATGTGAAGTGTTATATGTAGCCATGTACGCCATGCACATCAAATATTTATCTTTATCAAAATCCAAAAATAGAATCTTATTGTCAAGCAGTGTAGAAAGTTACAACTTTCTCTAGTTTTTTATCTTTTACACACACACACACACACACACACACACACACACACACACACACACACACACACACACACACACCTGTACAACATTTAATACAATTTCATATTCAGCAATATTTTATTGAACAAACAAGTAGAAAATATCTACTAACTCTGGTATGTTTGTTTGCAACAGGCAAGGTAAAGAGAACTTTCAGAACAGCATTATAATAAATAATGGGTGCACTCTAAAAAGGGTTTTAGCTGATTTTATCAAGTATAAGTTAGCCAAAGTCACCTTATTGAGTTCAGCAACCTTCGTGGGTTTAGTTTAGTCCAGCTGAACTGCCTCCCTTCTTCAGCTATCCAAATTACTGAAGCAATCAAACTAGTAAATGACATTAGATATCATGATAGAAGCTATTATGGTCAAAGTTGGTAAGCTCAACCACTGTGCTACTTCCCAATAAACTTTTAAATATATGTAATAAAACATGCGATCCTGAGGGACTGATGGGAATGCTTCAAAACATAAATATTATTTTGCAACCTAAGACATGGGAGCAGCTACTTTTTTATAAGGCTGATAAGCTATCTGGGTGTTAAATGTTGACTCAGTTATGAGAGTGAACATCCTTACAAGAAGGAAGTGTGTATCCAGTCCCCTGTAGCAAACCAATGACTGATCTCCTTTAACATATTGAATCCCTGCCAGTCGTTCTGATGACGCGCCACTTCCAAAGTAAAACTTGAGACTTCAGGGTAGAGTGGGATAAATAGTTTTCCTGCCAACATTACATAACAAGCAACATTAACTTGATTGTTCTACCTTCAAATAAAAATTAAAGATCAGACTGAGGATTGTACCGACAACTCCTGGGAGACTATTTCCCCAAAGCAGGCCACCTGAAGAAAACCTATTTCTAGACCTGAGTATCTGGCAGCTGATTTAATTAAAAACCAAGGCTTCTTTATTTAAGTCTCATTTTAACAGGCTGATTATTTTAAGTTTGAACTGAACAATGTTAAAAAAAAATATGAGTAAACTGCTGAAAACTACTTAGAAAAGTCACATTTTAATATAATTCATAACAATCATTATTCACTAATAAACAAATACTGTCAAAGATTATTTACACTGAATTTTGTCAAAATATTTTACATTTGAGTAATTGCAATGAAAAATTCACAGTGCAGTCTGAATGGACATTTTACAAGTAACTGAGTGTAACTGGGTAATGAAAACCATGTTTTAAACAGTTAACCTTGATGTAGTTAGTCTTTAAACTTCTACATCAGGATTCAGAGAACATCAAAAACTGTGATGTAACCATTATCATTTTAGCTGCTGAGATACTGAATGGTTTTCATTCTCAGCCACTAGAAGCTCTTAATAATAAAACTGTCCTGTTTTCTCTACACCACATCAGAAGGAAGATTTTTACATATCATCACATCACAAACAAATCCTGTGGCGTCCCAAGTTAAATGTGGTTTGCAGTGTTTTGCATGTGAAATCTGCACCATACAATCACACCAACAGCTGGAGTAGCAGTGAAAGCGCATTTGTCCGGTCTGTTAACCACCGTTGATCATGTTGCACACCTACCCAGCAGAAGCAGCTTCAGCTCCCTCCGTGCATCTCGCTTATCTCGTCGGAGTTGCTTCTCGATTTCAGCGTTGATACGTTTGGACTCCCTCGCCTCCTCACTCAGGCAACAAGCCATCATGGAGTCTAAAGTCATCACCGCATGAGCTGAAAAAGCCTGTATGACAGGGATACACCTAAGTATCTAAGCTAGTATCCTTTTGTATATGCAGGAGTCCCTTTCCAATTCCCCGTGTCCGGCGGTTATCGGGTTTTAAAAAATCTCTGACGGTCTTTAGTGACTTTTTAGGGTATCCTCGTGGAAATGTGTGCTGAACTACCAACTTCGGTCCCTGAAACAGTGGGACACAACAGGCTGCAACGGCCACATTTGTACGATACCTCCGCTGGTCGCCCGGCCGAGTGAAAGCCTAGCCACCCCGACACAATTGAGTTCTGCCCGCGCAGATTCCACTATGAGACCCCGTCAAACTGTCCATCCAGGTAGGCTGTCACTGTGTCAAGTCCTCGATGAACAACAAGCCTCGGAATAATCCAAACAGCAGGAGTCGCTCAGAGCAGCTCCCTCTCTTCCACATTGACTAACTGACATTCGGCGAACTAGCTAACAGTTAGCCTGTTGGGTTAGCTTAGAAAACCAGCTCTAAAAAAGCGGACAGCTCGGATTGACAGAGGACCTTCATTGCATTAACCTGACGCGCTGATGAGGACATCAGTCACGCAAAGCCCTTAAGATGCAAAAACAGCTAACGGAGATTCTAATGGGCCATTTTCATCCGTGCATTTTATCGCTCCTGGTAATTTTTCCTGGCGGTGAACGCTCCTCGTCACCCACACCTCACCACACCAGCCCCGGTGTTGCGCTGCTGCTGACGTTACTCGGGAGAAACTTGATTGACAGAAGAACCAGCCAATAAAAATCAAGCTTGTTGAACGTTTGTGGGTTGGCCTTTGCGGACTTCTCAAGTTCGTTTGAGGATAACTTCAGAGGGCGTGTCAGTGAAGGCTCCTGACAGGCACCGCCCATCTGCTGTCAAACATCAGCAACACCCCCTGCGCTGCTTGTTTCGGATCGTGGAGGGAAATCATGTATTTATTATGTCGATGATTTATGTTCATGAAATGTGTTTTAGCGGAGCAACAATTACATTCTACTGGAGAATGGAAAGTACTATATTTAGTTCCCTTTCCCTACATTTTAATCACAACTTTTAAATTCTCATTTTATAATATTTTTTCAATCATTTATTTTTTAAAATTTTGTTTTCTTGTGAAGCAACTCGTGATTTTTATCTTGAGAGGCGCTAAAAGATCATTTTCTTATGAGGGCTGCCTTAATATGTTCTAGTAATAAATAAACATATTAACTTTATAAAGAATACAAATCTGTTTTCTCGTTCATCTGATCTGCAAAAGCTTTGTTATATTGGCTATGTTGACATTTATCCTATAATGTTAACGTAAGGAAATAAAGCATTTAATAAATATGAAGTTTATTGTTTAATGTCTGGAGTTCATATTCTCTCATAAAGCTTCACTATTATTTAAACGTTGAACCTGCATTTTCTCTTAAAATCTGTTTCATTATTATTACATCATCTTCAGAGAATAATTCTACTATCACATTTCATTAACTTTTCAAGCCAATACAATTATATCTGACAACAAATGAGGTTGTTGTTGTCTGTCTTTCAGCTAATTTCTGTTCACTTATTGGAGCTCATAAATTTGGAAAAATACCGTAACTGAATATGTAATTTTGTGAAGGTGTATTTCAATTCAATTAAAAAAAAACTTTAATCATCCCTGTGGGGCAATTGTCGGGTTTTCACAGCATCTGTCCGCATTCCTTCATGGGGGTTTGTTGTTGGCATTCATAAGGCTGCCATGGCGTCAGATTCGGATAACAAGACTTTGTTTGGGTCAGGCAGAGATAATTTTCCTCTCAGCCTTGAAGTCTGTAACTGATCATTCAAGTCCTCCAGTGAAGCCAATTCAGGTTTTTAACATCTCCACACCGTCCAGTGACCCTCTCCGAGATGACATCCATTTTGCGCGCTAATACCGGAATCACAGCTAGAACATTGTCCAGCTTACAATTCACCTCGAGTAACGTCCCAGTCTGTGAGGTCTCCACACGGGCGGTGCTTTCCGTTGGTGCGGGTCGCCCTCAAATCGCTCCCGTCTTCCCAAATTTCTAGAAAACCAGATATCCTCCAATCAGAAGAAATCCAGTGATCATCGGGCCAAATATCCACACATCTTCGACATCCTCAATGGACAACTGAGAGAGGCATACGATCTTCCACTCCCTCCAGGAATCGAGCATATATCCCGCTGCGTGTGTCCCTTGCGGGCAAGTGGGAGCCCCCTCCTCCGTTCTCATCGTAGAAAAACTCTTGTCAATTGCGTTGAATGACCAATTATTAAATCCATTCTAAAAAATAGGGTTTTTCAGAAGAAATGCAGAGAAGCGCTTTGTGGGCAGACAGGACAAAGAGCCTTGGGGGAAAAAAAGATAAGGGAGCAAAAGCAGAAGCGTCTACTCTGCGAGTGCCGGAAGAATGAATGTATGTGTATTTATGGTCATGAAATCAGTAATTAAGGTGTTGTGTGTGTGTGTTTGTGTGTGCCTGTGCGCGCGTGTGTGTGTGTGCGTGCGTGCGTGCGTGCGTGTGTGTGTGTGTGTGTGTGTGTGTGTGTGTGTGTGTGTGTGTGTGTTTGTGTGTGTGTGTGTGTGTGTGTGTGTGCGCGCGCTTATAACACATCTAACATTTCAAGACGATTTCAGAGTCATACACCGTGGCTGTTATATGCGTCAGCTGACTTTCATTGACTCAAACACACTCAAAGTTTGATCAGTTGGAAGTAAAGCTTTGATTGACTCTGTTTAACTTTAAATCCTGAGAGGGGCAGCTTCATTCTGAAGAACAAAAGTAAACTAGACGGGTTTCCATAATGTTATGTTCACGTAGTAGTGTGTCTAAATGAAATAGAATATTATGAAAAGGTTGGATTGTTTTTGTCACTCAGAACATAAAGCCATTCTGATATATAGGTTCACTACATGTAGAGTGAAAATTTTAAAGCATTTAATTCTTGTAATTTGAATTATTATGGTTAGATTCTTTTAAATATCAGCATTTTGAAAGATGAATTAGAAAAAGAATATTTTAAATGGGGTTGCATGGTAATGCAGTTGACACTATTGCTTTGTAGCGAGAAGGCTGCAGGTTTGAATCTTGGCTGCAGTCTTTCTGTCTCTGTCATTAAATCCAGCATTTGATACCTTTGGTAGTGATGCCAAGTCCAACTAAAAAAATCAGCATCTCCTTAAGCAGAGGGAAGCACGAAGAGCTCTGTATAATCCTGGTAGATGTCTGCGTTGGCTGTGGACTTCAGAAAACCCAGTGGATAAACACCAGCAGATGACATCATGAATGAATGAATTATTTATTTATTTCAAACAGATAACATGAACTACAAAACAATCATTTTACACAGTGTTAAAATTGTGAGAACAAAACGATTTATGTAATTACAGCTGTCTGAAAAGAAATGGGTAAAAGAAAACTTATTTAATCCCACCAATTTTTCTATTACATGTTTTACTTCTCTACTCTTTTAATGAGCAAATTAACACATCTACATCATAGTAACAATATAAAGTTTGCAATTTAACCAATTAAATTTGCAGATTTGCAACGTTAAAACCTACCTACCTGGTTACTCCACATACATATTTCATGAGCATTTTTAAACTCAGAGTACCCCTGAAGGACTTAGTTGTTCGTCCTTTTATCAAAACTTATTTTGAGCCTGAGAGAGCTAATAATTCTATTTATAATCTTGAATACCAACCTGGTATTTCAACAATAATCTTAGGACCCATTTGGTCTAAGTAAATTTCCTCATAGAGGCACAATAAATGGTTTTTCTATTATATTTTAATCTATTTTATACTAATATCCATATATCTTAAATCATCGCTGACTGTGGAAACATCTCTCTGGACGTCAAGCAACACAGATTCTGAGCCTCTCGTTTCTTCCAGCAGACTCTGACACCTTGATTTCCAAATGACCTGCAAAGTTTATTTTCATCTGAAAAGAGGATTTTATTCCACTGAGCAAAAGTCCAGCTCTGTTTATCCTTGGTTCTGATGTTGCCTTTGGTTCAGGAGTGCTTTCAGAGGATCGAAGCTCTGACTCCAGCCTCAGTCCACTCTCGGTGAAACTCCCTAAATTCTTGGTGGTGGTTCTTCCCATTTCACTTTTCACATCACTTTTTCCTTCCACTGAACTTTTTATAAACATGCTTGGATGCAGCAACAAGCAGCTTCTTCAGCAATGGCCTTTTGTAGCTTAGTTTCCCCTCCTTGTGGACGGTGTGAATGACTGTCTTCTGGACATCTGTCCAGTCAGCAGTCTTCTCCATGATCGTATATGCTTCTGAAACAGGCTGAGACCATTTAGAGGTTCAGAAAACCTTTACAGGTGTTTTAAAGTGACAATGTGTATTTTCTTTGGCGATAGGTCACAGTGCATAAATCATTGCAAGCAAGCAGTATTTTTGTGTTCGAGTAAGAACTTCCAACGGATAGCCATCAGGGTCAAAAATCATTGGGAGCACAAACTCCAGCAAAATGACGCACATCAGGTTCCCTTTCATCACTGGCAGCAACCGAAGAGGTACATGCATAAAACAACAATGTTTATAAATGGTGAAAGTTTTGTAACCGTTTGTAACAAATCAGTAAATGCATTTTGTCCTCATGGGCTCCCGTCGAAGGAAACATGGCATCTAATACGGCGTCGCCCAGAGACTTTGACCCAATCCCATCTTGCAATTCCACTTTTGTGCCCTTCAATTGTGCATTCCTGGCCAGGGGTGTATATGGGGTGTTCTGATTCTCAAGTGTGGAAGTTGATCACGCCCATTTTGTGCCCCTGATCCGCACTTCACCCAAGTCTGCATCGATGCCAAGTGATAGGCAACAGCCCCCTGTGTGGACAAGTGAGTGTAGAAAATGGATGGATTTTTGAGACAGAAGAAAAATGTGAGAAGAGGAGAAACCTGTTTCTGTCTTCTCAAGAAAAACATCAGCTCAGGAGCTGTAAGTCATTGTCTTTTACAGGTTGTCATTGTTGCATATTATTTCTGCAATCGACGGATCCTAAAAAGTTGTTTGCCAGTCAGAATTCAACCGTGCCTCTGTTTCAGAACCTTCTTCACACACTTGTGTTAATGAACATAACTCAAAGTAATTGACGCGGTGAATAATGATTTGTCTACATTGTTCCTCTGAAGGGTGGCATGAGAAACTTTTGCTTTCTTTTCTTCATTCACTTTGGTGCCTGCTGTTTGTCAGGTTACATCTAGATTTTGGGCTGAGGGAACTTGATTAGATGCAAAACGAGCGTTAGTTTCTCACACCTGTTAAACCGGATGAACGTGTTTGAGCCAGTTTGATTCTTGGTGACTGCAAAGAGGAAAGGACTGGCAACATTTACAGCACATTTTTAATCAATGAGGCCATGTTTGACCTACTGGAGGAACACAAGCAATAAAGCAGAGCAAAGTGACATCTTGTGGACATTAGATGTAGTCACAAGGGTAGGTTTATTATTTTTTTTATGAAATCTGTTTAGCACCTTTTAATTGGAGCTTGTCTATGTTAAAACTTGTTTCAGGCAGTCCTTTAGTTTATACAGGAGATGTTTGTCATCTGAAGCAAATCCAAACAAACTGTTCCATTTAAACCTTTATTTCTGCACATGTATTTACACCCACATGATGCACTTTTCTTGCAAAACCCAAAACGATCCAACTTACTGTAAAAAAATCTTAAATTATAAAAAAGGCGGTATGATTTTCACCTGAGAAAATTTAATAAATCCGATATCTAGTCACCTTTCTCTTGTTTTTGCTTTTTAAATCTGATTAGCCACAATGCCACAGATGCACAATCACAGTGAAAGAAGGGGATGTAGCGGATGTTGGTAAGTACATGGTATGTTTGGTATGGAGCAGCTCTTCAGACACAACTCATGACATGTTGTCCTGTCCTACCTTGTGTCACATGATCTACTGAAACAACAGGCAAACCCATTCATTCACTCTGAGCTCATTCAACATTTCATAAAGCAGCGTAGAGCCTGTATGCAGTCAGCTGTTCACAAACCAATTGGGATTTTTACTTTTTTGTTCTTAGTGCTGCTTTGTCTTCTTACAATCTTCCTGAATAAGGAAGTGTGAACATTTCAGTAGATTTCACTTCTGCAAAATATTGATGAATTTTTACAAACCAGGCTATGCTACTTTACAAAAAAAACCCACTGAAAATGTTACATTTGTGCCAGATGTCGATATGGAAATCTGTGGTCTAGGTAAACCTAAACAACTTTTTAGCTGGACACAAAGGTGTCAGTAGATCCATGTGTAAAATGTAAACAGGAGTAACAGGATCAGAAGCAGCCTCTCAACTGGTTTGTCTTTGTGCTGCAAACATTTATTAACAACATAATTACACATTGTGCCACATCACTCTGGGACATTTGGATTCTCATCCATCAGCAGATCATAACGCCATCTTTGCTGTAGTAAAAAGGAGGGAGAAACCTTCCTATATCTTCGTATGTACTCGTTTTTGCATCTAATTTACCCAAAACAAATGAAAACAATGTTTCATGAAGACATCATGTAATATAAAACTGCCTTTTTATCGTTAATGAGCACATTTTGTACTAAAACTGACTGTTTAATAGACTTTTTAGGGAAACTCTGAATCCATTGACAAACTTATATCAAAGTTTTTACTCGTAAGCACAAAGAATATTTATTTAAACACATCCATCTGAGTTTTTCTTCTCCTTTTTTCTCACGGCAGTGGATGGCTACGGTGCGAAACCATGCAAAACTGGACAAACCGGTTCTACTGGCCTGGACAAAAGCATGACATCCAAATAACAGCCAAAGAGACTCAGCAGTAATTTATCTACACTACTCTAGAGCTCTGAACTGCACCAGCTGCTCTACAGTTGTTTTGATTATTTTGTGTGCTGCATTAAATCTTATGCATTTATTATTTTCATGACAGCTGCTATATGTTTTATATGTATCTCCTTGATACTTTATCATCATAGGCTAATTATAACCTGGTTTAGAGGTGAAACAATTCAAATGATAAAGAACTGATTAAAATATGTTTCCAAAATGAAGAATAAATAATTAAATTATCGTTGCTGTAGAATGAAACTCTTTCTTTTATTATTTTTTATGATAAAACAAAACTTCTCTGTTCAAGATTTCTCTTGAACTCAACTGAAATTTGAAACAGGGAGCCTCTGCAGCACAGTCGACACTTAAGCCACAGTCTCAGAGCACTCGGTCGTAACACTGGCAGGTAAAAAGAATCAGATATGCCCCTTTTCCGGTTTCATATTTTCAAAATAAGTTCCCTGATGTAGCATTTAATTGTGTGACTTCATGTTGCCATTAAAGAGTAAATTGTAATTTTCAAACTACAAAGTGTCAAAAACTATAGAAATCAAGCAAATGTAAACCTGCCTCAGATCTGTAATGACCATAATTTACGAGAGTCCTATTTACTTTAAAGCAAAATATCCAAGGAGTGGCCCTTATCAAATGTGAAAGACATGGTAAAATTACTGCACGGGAACAACATCTTGAGTATGTTGCACTTAAAGCCTCCATCTGATAAAAATGTAAGTTTAAAATGTAACTGGATTTTCATTCTAATGGAAACGAATCATGTTTATTTTAAATAACAGAAGACAAAGAAATTCACATTTTTTATATAACAGAAGGTGACACAAAGGTCACACCAAAGCCAGCTTGAATAGGTGACTTTTCAGCTGCTTCTTAAAGGAGACCACTGAGTCCACTGATCTCAGGCTCAGGTCCAGGGGTTCAGAGTCTGGGGGCCACAACAGCAAATGATCTGTCACCTTTGGCCTTTAGCCTGGTGCGCTGCACAACCAGTAGGCTTTGGTCACTGGACATCAGAGACCCGCTGGGGGTGTAGGGATTGAGACGATCACCAATGCACAGTGTTGTGCCTGAACGCATTCATTGAATGATCGCTTGTGAATTTGTTCGGTTTTTTTTTGTGTGAACGCGAAATGAACTCCTTCGTATTTTGCCTGACGAACGTAAAAGTGAGTGCATTAGTCCTAGAGTGTGTGAACGGGTTTATGAACGCGTTCTTTCACCATTCTAGCTCCAGATCTCCACGGAGCTTTTCCGGAGCTAAAGCCTAGCTAAAACGTCCTGTTAACCATAGAGTTTATAAAAAATAGAACTGCGGCCAAACATAGGCAGCAGCAGTTGGTGCGGCGTCTACTCTTCTATGTCTATGCTGTGTGCAGAAGTCAAAGTTCATTCAGAAAAATTGAAAAGGGACTTAACTGAAAGATTATACATTTTTTAATATTTTGCACTTTTAATATTGCACTTTGAGTTTGCTACCCCAGCCTGCTTCCTAAGATTGTTTAATAATTTCCCATCAAAATAATGTATTCCTCATGTTATTGAGAATATACTGTAGGGTAAAAACTGCAGCTGGGTATGAGTGTAGACTGAACGGGTGCCAACTATTGGGAAAAAAATATATGCATATATACATACATATATATATATATATATATATATATATATATATATATATATATATATGTGTGTGTGTGTGTGTGTGTGTGTGTGTACAGTATATATATATATATATATATATATATATATATATATATATATATATATATATATATACATATAGATAGATAGATAGATAGATAGATAGGTGTATCTATCTATCTATATATATATATATATATATATATATATATATATATATATATATATATATATATATATATAATGAGAAAAAAATACAATGAACTAGTTCATTTTTGGAACAGTGAACCTAGTTCAATTTTTTTTTATTATGAACTAAGAAACAAACTAGTTCATTTTAAAATATGTCTAAGCAGGAGTATAACAGCTGCAGTTTAGATATCTCATTGGGCTTAAAAAAGATGTACAGCTGGATGTCATCTGCACAAATATGCTATGAGATTTCTTTAGAATAGCTCAGGATGTGCTGGAGAAGGAGCAGAGATAGAGGAGGAACAGTAGAGAGGCCCCAGCACAGAACTTTGTGGGACATCGTGGGCAAGGAAGGAATAGGAGGACCGAAACTTGGAGACGGCCACAGAGAAAGAATTCTCAGACAGATACGAGGAGAACCACTCCAGAGCAGATACCAATGGGCCTACCCAGTCTCTCAGTCTATCCAGTAGCAGGTGATGGTCAACAGTGTCAGGTCCAGCAGGACCTTTATAACACCCTTTCAGGCAGTACTCCAAACCTCAATAATTAATTTAAAGACAATACATTTTATTTTTGAATTGTTGTTAAGCTACGATCTGTCATCTCCATACATTTCTCTGTTAGCATAGAAATAAGTGACCTGAAAGTTTTTTTTTTCACTAATTGGCATTTTTGGAGCAAATTATGTAAATATATATAATATCAATATTATGTGAAACTGCAAAAAATCTTACTTTTCTGAAACATACTGTGAACTAATACATTTAAAACACTGGAGGGTAGAAGGACCATGTTTAGATAGCCTACATGACAATGTTGAGGACGTCATTTACAAGAAAAAATAGGCTACTACATCAGCCTATATGATTGACAAAAACAAAAATCTTCCCATTTGTTTGGTTAATGAAACGACAAGCATCAGAACATGGAGGGGTACAGCCATCGCTCTGTATCTGTTTCACAATGACGTTAAGTGCAAACACGCGCATGTTTTATTCTATAGGAAATTGGCACTTCCGGTGCGGTTCCGGTAGTTTCCCGGAGCTTCACCTGAAACGCATTCCAGCTACGGAGTGCTTTCAGCGGACCAGAAGCAGCACATTCCACTCACTGTAGGCGCGGTGGATTTTCCCGAGCGGCAGGGTATTTTTGACGGGATCCGGAGAGAGGTGCTAAAACTCGGCATCAGTGGGGTGAAAGCCGCAGGTGGAGCGGCAGGAAGGGGGGCTCCGTGGGACATGGGTTGCGAACAGCGACCGGATTGTGTACCTGTACCGTCTCCGGGAAGTTGGGCGCTCTGATTGGAGGTAAGCAGCTAAACGTTTTCCGAATGCAGAGCCAACCTTTATCCTAGACAAACCCGCCAACAGGTGTGCACTAATGAAAATTGACTTAAAAATAGCGAAAACTTGAGGCTAAAGAGAGAAAAAACTGTGTGATACTCTAAAGATAGGGCGTCCTACCTATGTAGAAATTTATGGCACCTGTAAATATTCCCAGGTGTGGTGAAATAAATCACGGCAGGGCTGTGTCAAAGTGAAGAAACACGAAGAAAGGGTTGCTTAGATACCAGGTTTATTGTCAGGCTATTGAGTTATTACAGGAGAACATCTGACAGTTTGATTCCAGAGCCTTTGTCCATGGCGGGCTGCCTGTGGTGGTGCCACCGCACCTGTGTGTGCTTTCTGTCCGAGGAGGAGAAAGCATCCCTGGCTGTGGACAGAGAGATCCAGAGGATCCTCAGGAAGCAAAAGAAGGAAGAGAAGAAAGAGATAAAAATCCTTCTGCTGGGTAAGTTTAGCTTACATGATGCGTGAAACACTAAATAAAAGGTGTGGGATGAATCTTAAAAAGTGATTGGCCTGTTTAGGCTGCCAGACAGGAGACAAAACTATGCAAATCATGTCACCATGTGGGTATGTGAAGCATTGTTCAGATTGGGATCGGCTATACCTGAGCAGAGGTCACACACACACACACACACACACACACACACACACACACACACACACACACACACACACACACACACACACACACACACACACACACCACACACACCACACACACCACACACACCACACACACACACACACACACACACACACACACCTCAGAAACTACGAAGGGCCTGTTTCAAGGCTGGTTTTACAACTCAGGGCCCAACAGGTGTTTTAACCTTGATGCTCTGATTCAGTCAGTTAAATCTAGCTATGAATAGAAGATATTTACTAGCAATACTGCTTTAAAACAGAACTATAAATTAGAACAGAAACTAAATGAGATGCATTTTCTTTAGTTTTATTTTAAGAACTTTTTTGGTTTTGACAAATGGATTTTAGGTTTCTTTGTTTTTTGGAAAATAGCTACGTTTACATGTGCTACATTTCGTCTATCTGGTTCAAATCTTGATAGATCGTAAATCCCAAATCTCTGTTTACATGGACACTAACTGGAATGATCCGATCATGCCGTGAGTATACATGCACCAAGCATTCAATCAGGTTAAATAGGTTGAGCATGAGCAGAGTTGTCTTTCTCAGAAATAAATATTGTAACCAAACACCATCTTGTCTGCACGTCTTTTCACTCGCATTTTATTTCCTTATTCTCTAGCTTTGTCCATTGACTTACCTTTCCAGTGGTTTTTGATTTGGTCGATACTTAGGTGAATTCCTGCTTCCTGCACTTGAGTGTATAACTGGACATTTCTACCCTTTTGGCCATTGAGACGCTCAGTTCTATGGAGCTCTTATAGTGTTTCAAGCAAAAAAATAAATAGTGTCTGCAACTGACCACTTCTCTTTACCTCACGCCATGTTTTCGACTTGTCCTGAGCATCTGCAAAGGTGGAAAGACATTACGCTTAAGTTGTACACGTGCGCAGTGGGCAACAATCCAAATGAGTGTGTACGTGGACGTCAATCGGAACGATGATCAGACAAAACCACCTGTCTCAACTGGAAGGAAATTTCATTCCGATTGGGCCGTATCGGATCAGAATATTCCGATTGACATGTTTACATGAAGGATTTTTGATCTGTTAGGGCGTTCATTCAGATTATGTATACCCATGTAGATGTAGCTAATGATATTATTTTTTCAATGTGATGTTCAGTCCAAGATGCCTTTGTGACACTTTTAAAGGTCAGCTTCACTGAAAAACCATTTTTAATTATTATTTCTGATTATATTCGGTCACTCTGAGTTTTTCATGCAGGCTGAACATAAAAATAGTCTCCTACACCTATCTCCTGCATTAGCTTCTGATAGAAAATAGACGGTGAAACTCTAGGACTAGAAAAGCGTGACAGATCTACGTCACACGGTCACTGAACATTCGTGGACTCACCCATCTTGACTCACGGCCCAGAAGGCTGCTGTTGGTTTAGTGTCTAGCAAACAGCAGAGACCATCTGGGCCCTCATTCATCTAACGTTCGTAGAAATATTCCTATATTATTGGAATATATGATTCATGAGACATGCGGTGGCCTCTCATACGCATGTTCCTCCGCAACCGTCTGATGATAAATCCCACCGGTGCATACCCCGGTGCTCATGTCCGTTCTCAGTCACTTACATAAGAAACAACCTCAATTAACCATATTTGGTCACACCATGTCCTCAGCTCCTGAGGGAATTCTCTGCTCTTTACCCGGAAAAAAAAGGAACATTTTGTTGTGAGACTGAGACACTGGCTGCCAAAGTGCAAAATAACCAAACAAGTTGCTGAGGTTGTAAAAGTCGGGACAAGGGAGAGGCCTATGTCAGAAAGAAATAAAATCAGATGGTAAATCATAGAGGATAGGGTTGTCATTTACATTTTACATTTAACCCTCCCACTGTCTTTATGGGCGACCGCGCGAGGAAAGTTGACCATTGAGCAGGATTGATGGTTTATCCCTTGAGGTCCACATGGCAGGGATGAGGTGCTCACTCCTGCCACATGGACCCAAGGGATAAACCATCAACCCTGCTCAATGGTCAACTTTCCTCGCTGAGTCACACCCATTAGGACAGTGCATCCTCATCCTCCAGATCTGTAGACCTTAGAGAATGTACTGGGGCATTAAATGACTACAGATAAGACAAGTATATTACTGAGGAAGAAATAACCTGTTGTCCCCTACTCCTCTGACAAACACCTACTGCAGACAACAGCATATTTATTGAAAAATGAAAAAAAAAACTAATGATTGAGAGCTTTAAATGACATTTTTTAACCTGTGTGTCCATTTTTGCTCACTGGTATCCAGTTTAGATTTTCCTTCTCACAAGCATGCTGGCAATCCTGCAGCTTTCTCTAACTGTCTTGTGCACTGGAGGAAGAGAGATGTAAATCCCGTCCTTTGTCTCTGTTCTTAAACAATATAATGATTTCTGCCTATATGTGGCCTTTTGTTTACTGCCTTAGTACCATGCCCTGCTGACATGGTGTTTTTTGTATTGTTTTCAGTCAGATATGCTGTAACACTCTGATTTCCTTTAGTTGGGTTTCCAATTCATTCCTGCATTGACAAGTTAAACATAAAGGATAATATTGACTGATTTAGGATTAGGGGAAACCCTGTGATGGAGCAGAGATCCTGTAAACACCAACATTCAGTTATTGTCCTGTGTTATATTGCTCGCATCACTTTATGAAGTGACAGGAAACAAACATTTGTCTACTGGGAAATGGAACTGTTCGTTAAACATTGTCATGATTTCACACATCCTGGTGTATGAATCATGTGTTTTCATTGGAGAGCAGTGTTGGTGATTTCCAGCAAAGTGCTCTGATAACCAACACACTTGTTTCCTCACCTAGAGGCTGATTAGTTGATATTTTTGTGATAAACACATGCTATATTTCAGTCATTCGCTCTGTTGTATTTCAAATCCTCATGTCAAGTCCTTTGTTTTTCAAATGCATGCCTAAAGGAAATTGTAAAATTGTTTGTTAGAATCCTTTTACACATTTTGTAATGAGTCTACTGTAAATAAATAACTATAAGATCTTTGAGCCAAACCACAAACTGCATACAGCTCCTCCGTTAATCTCTCTTTGGCGTTCACAGACAGTGATCTGTGACATTTCACCTCCTCTGACACATTTCTCAGCACCAACCTGTGACTGAAAGAAGGATGGAGTTGTTCTCACAGGAGACAAAACTAGTTCCAAAGGAATAGTTTGAGAGAGAAAAAGAGACTGAGATGCAGCCTTAGAACTATGTAAAGATGACCATCTGCATCAACATCTTTGAGGGGAAAGCAATCCTCACAAGAACTATGCACGGGTTCCCCAATAACAAGCCTTGGAACACCAGTGACACAGAGGAGCTACTGAACAAGAGCTCTCAAGCTTGGAAACAGGAAATTATTAGGAAACATACAGACAACGCTTCAAGTTAGACAGCAGGTCTAAAGTCTAATTTATGCGTCAGTACGGAGATGTGCAACAATGCCAATACTCGCCGCTGCGAGGACTCTCCAACAGGCATGCAAGAAGAGACAGAGTCAAGCCCACTTTTCTAAACATCCGCCAATAAGGCAGATTCCTTCCCCTCGGTAATGGAGAAGTCCGAAGGCAAAATTTCCATGTCAATGCGTATGTGTCTCTTCCTCACGGAGCTGACGCAGAAGCATAAACCAGGCTTAAGGGAGCATGCTGTATGAGAAGCATGCATAAATATAATTTGGGATAAAAACCAAATTCCTGAGTCCAAGATTAGGAGGATTATGTTCTGCTATACTCACAATAAGCTCGCTGTCACCACTGATGCTTTCAAAACATTTTACCATAGTTTTGCGGCATGCTTGCAGCTATATTTCGCTAAGCCAGTCCGAAAGGACCACTAGGAACCAACCAATTACCTAAACGGTGCAATTGGAAATGGCTCAGTAGAGTTGCTGGGTGGAACTTGTAACTCATGCTGATTGGTTGTAACTCAGTGGGACATGTCAGCAGATGTCGCCAAACAACCGGCATTTGTAAAATTGGACAGTTGCTGGTGAAGCAGAATGGAAGTTAAAGAAAAGGAAATCCCCCACAGCCCTTTAATTGATAGCACTTTTGGTTTCCTGCACAGCGACATAATAAACAACTCTTCTTCTCATTGAACACTGCTTTTTACGTCACACAGTTGCCTTTTAGTAAGCTGAATAGATGAAATGATGGCGTACTTTGAAAGAATAAAAGTTTTTAAATGTTATTAATGTGCACAAAGGCCTTTTGTCGCTGATCAGTGATGTCACTCACTGTCAAAACGGTTGCGATATGTTGACATCTTAGCAAAGTCCTGAAAGGTTATTTTTTTTATGGGGACACAACGTCTGAGAAGACCGAGCCATCATAGTATTACTGTCACCATACCCACTCCCAGTACTTTAGCAGAACTCCTTTAGTGGGAACACGGCTAATACAGGGGCGTTGGTGGAAGAGTAGTTAGGTGCCTGTCCCGTAACCGGAAGGTCGCAGATTCGAGTCCTGCTCAGTCTATTGCATTTGTTGTGTCCTTGGGCAAGATATTTGACCCTTCTTGCCTGCTGGTGGTGGTCAGAGGCACTAGTGGCACCAGTGCTCGGCACTCTTGCTTCCTCAGTCTTCCCCAGGGCAGCTGTGGCTATTTTTTTTGGTGGGGTGCAATTGTTTTAGGTGTTGTGCCTAAAAGAGCCTGCCAGCCAAGTTTTGTATGATCTATGGGAAGGTGCATGTGAATAACGAGCTTTTTTTGTACTATTAACATGTTTCTTATCCATTTACTTCCTTACAAAATGATGGTTTATGGGCAGATAAATAAAGAAATGACAGTTTATGTATAAAAAAAATTCTTGATCATCTTTTTAATTTTGAGTCACATTCCTGTTTCTTTAAATCAACAGTGAAGTAGTTGGCAAAGCTGGCAAAAATATATATAAAAATTCTTACTAAACATTAGTCTCAAACGCATTTAAATAAAACGTGTCAAACGTAAATATTTAACCATTATTTCATAGTCAAAAATTGGCCATTTATCTTCTGCCATCAAGACAAACTTAAGGAATTTGGGTGTTGTTTTTCACCAATCAATGTCTCTTGAAGGCCACTCAAAAACATTGGTCCGAAATAGTTTTTATCACTTAAGAAATATCTCCAAACTTCAAAGGTTGGTGTCAAAACACGAACTTGAAATTGTTATCCATGCCTTCATCTCCTCCCGACTAGATTACTGGAACACACTTATCACATGTTTTAACAAAAAAGCACTTGACCGCCTTCAATTGGTCCAGAACTCTGCAGCAAGGCTCCTAACTGGAGCAAATACAGGTCCGTCTAAAAAAATTTGCGTATTGTGATGAAGTTCATTATTTTCTGTAATGTACTGATAAACATTAGACTTTCATATATATTAGATTCATTACACACAACTGAAGTAGTTAAAGCCCTTTATTGTTACTAATATTGATGATTTTGGCATACAGCTCATGAAAACCCAAAGTTCCTATCTCAAAAAATTTGCATATTTCGTCCGACCAATAAAAGAAAAGTGTTTCTAATACAAAAAAAGTCAACCTTCAAATAATTATGTTCAGTTATGCACTCAATATTTCTGTCAAGAATTCATCCTTTAGATTAATTTGTGGTGTAAACTCTGAGACTGATTACATTGCGGAGATATTGATATTACATCCAACGGTCCAGTTCTGAAAACTGGTGGTGCACCGATTAATTAATATAAGATTATAAACAAGCTAAATCTATGTCACATTTGAAATATAGATATAAATCTATATTTATCGCTATACAAGTGGCATGTAAACAGGGTTTGACACGACTGATGTTGATCATGTAGAGGTAGATGAGGCATGGACACATTTTAATGACATGTAGTTCACAGTTTAATGTATTGTTCTACCCCATAATCAATAGCTTGGCAAGTTAGAACTTCAGACTAAATGCTAAATTAGGTAATAATACAGCTAAACTAACCGTTTTTAGCCACGTTTGTTTCTCTTACACATAAAACTACAGACATAAGTGTCCTCTAAATATGTTTCAATTAGTAATTGGTAAATGGCCTGTATTTGATATAGCGCCTTCTAGAGTCCTAGAACCCCCCAAGGCACTTTACAACACAATCAGTCATTCACCCATTCACACACACATTCACACACTGGTGGTGATGAGCTACAATGTAGCCACAGCTGCCCTGGGGCGCACTGACAGAGGCCATTTACCATTTACCATTTAATTCATACATCCAATCTAATGTTCATAATAATAATTAATGATATTCTTTTTTTTTTAAATGAATATGAAACACTGGCATTGTTACAATAATAAAGTGAATAGCATAGCAAAACATAATATTGTACCATCTGTAGGAGCCAAGGTTGCTACTTATGCTTAACCAGTCATGGCGGAGGGGCACAGGTGTTCTTTATAATGTACTATCACCTGAGGTGATGAGATTGAGGGGTGTGGTCATACTTTTTGTTTTTATTATCTTAGCACCTGCACATTGAGCAGGGCCGGCTTGAAGTTGTTTGCTGTAATTTTTATTGACCGTCATTTGACTCGTTATCTTAAATAAATAACACAAGCTTAAATTTCAATATGGATTATTGGATATGCGTCACAGATCAAAACCACCTCAGACAGCCAGCGACTAAACAAATGGTTCGAAGGCGCTACACCATCATTTAACATGCTCCCAGATCTCATATTTCATCTTTTTCAGTTCTATTGACCTCCCGTTTATTAGTTTCTTTTAATTATTTAGGTTAACAATTTTCTCGCGAGGAAAGCTGTGGACACAAATTGGTTCCTTTGTTGTCCTTCAACTGGAAATCACAACCAAAAGTGTCACAACGTGCCCTGTACCTTTCAGCGGAGACTTACAGCTGTGCTTTGTCATAAAGTAGTCCCAAGTCTAAAATGGTGCCTGTGATTTCTTAGTTAGTACCGGTAATTATTTTCACTTTCAGTCAGTCTGACTATTTAGGTCACCAGGCAGAATTAGGATCACTTCTGAGTGATTTTAAGTTTTTATTCACAATGCTAGTTGGATCCATTCTCTTACTGTGTTTTATGCTAAGCTAAAGCTAAAGGAGTACAGCTGGGTCAGGAGAATGACTGGGCTGGTTAAAGACTTTTTTCTCACTTATCTAACTCTGAGGAAAAATATCAACAGACAAAATGTAAATTTTGGGTGGAATATCACTTTAAAATGTATTATTGTTTTTTCCATTAGAAATTATCATTTAACATTGCAACTTTAGGTTATTTTGAATAAAATATAGCTCTTAATTACTCTGAATATTCGGGTGTATCTTAAAAGGAACAGATTATAGTTGTTTTTAACTGGATCAACAACTAGTTAACAAAAAACCTCAAAATATTCAATAAGTGTACTAAGTAATTATGAAAATGTAAATTAAGATAGTTTCTGTAATTTAGTAGGAAAATCAGATCAGATAGGTGACTAATTCATTTGTTTACGTTTGAAAATTAGCGTGGGGATGTAATAATGCTGAATAATGTTGTAAAAAGGGGCAGATATTTTAAAATATTTTCAGTTTTCTGCTCCTTTTGATTGAAAAATTGTGTTGTGTGTATTTTGTTGTATTTTTAAATTGTTTTTGAACAAATTAAATAAATAAATAAAAACAGTATTAATGCTGCAGCCAACAGTTTGATTCATTTTATCAGTTTGATCATTCTGATTTATTTATTTTTCTTTTTTCTTCCTAAAGACTGGCTTTCAGATTTTTTAGTCATATGCTTTTAAAATTTCCCAAATAGTAGATGAATGAATTTTAGTTGGTGGATTTTAATCATTAGTTTTAAATCATTGTTTCCTCAGGAACTGGGGAGAGCGGGAAAACCACCTTCATCCGACAGATGAGGATCATCCACGGCCGAGGATACTCGGAGGAGGACAGGAAGACCTTCGCCAGCTGCATCTTCCAGAACATCTTCACCGCCATCAAGGCCATGACGGGAGCCATGAGCACCCTCAGAATCCCTTATGCCAACTCTGAGAACGAGGTGGGCACATGTACACACACACACACACACACACACGCACGCACGCACGCACACACACACACACACACACACACAGATTTTAAATGACAGTAATGACTACACACAATAAGTGTAATAGGACATGGTCCTTTTAATTTTACAGACTTCTAGATCATGTTGTCTGCTTTCTAGAAATATGCCAAGTTGCTGCAGGATGTCAACACAGTGCAGATCTCCTTCCTGGAGCGGGGACACGTCAAGGCGATCCGCTGCCTGTGGGCAGACTCGGGAATCCGGACCTGCTACAGCCGCCGCTGCGAGTACCAGCTCCTGGATTCCACTGAGTAGTGAGTAAACTGGGCTGTACTGGAACACAAAGCTGTGCCTCACCCTGTGTTGAGACTGGAAATCTGAGAGAGTCACATGAGGGTTCATGGTCACAGCAACAATATCAAAATACTGGCAAATGCTGTCATGAAGCTGAGTCTTAGTGGGCGTTGAAAATAAAGGAAGTTAGATGAGTAAGCAGATTTATTTAGATACATGAGAGTTTCGAGTGGTTTCAGATGATGTGAAAGAAGATACGGGCAGACAGAATAAGGTGATGGTCAGTTAAATAGAGAACACTAAAGCTTCACAAGAAAATTGAGATGTTTGTATTTTATCACTATTTTGTATTTGCTAACACAGTGAGGCAAGGCGAGGTGAGGCAGCTTTATTTGTATAGCACATTTCGTACACAGCAGCAATTCAGAGGGCTTTCCAGGAGTAATGACAGCAAGAACATAAAACATTAGAATCAACGTGATAACATGAAACAACAGATTTTAAAGTCAGGATTAAAATACACGCATAAAATTAGTTGTGAGAATAAGATAAAAAGGCAAAGTTCAAGACTGAGCAGTTACAGTTCAGAAGGTGTAACATAAGGAAGCATTCATCCAAAGGCAGATGAATGCATGAACGTTTTCTATTTTAATTAAAAAAATTACAAACATTGGGTCAGATTTGAGGTCATAAGGGAGCTAATTCCATCTGTGTGCAGCATAGTAGTTAAAACAGCTTCACCCTGTTTGGTTCTGACCCGGGGTTCTACCAGCTGACTTCTTCCTGCAAGGAGATCCGACATGTATTCTGGCCCCATGCCACCGAGTGATTTATTAGAAGCACTTTGAAATGGATTCTGTAGTTTACTGGTAACCAGTGTAGTGATTTAAAGGTGCATTATGTAGAAATGAAGTAAAAATGACATCCGGTGGCAAAATTTGGTTACTGTAACTATTTTTAACAACTCAAGAGTTTTTAGCCGGCCTTCGTCAAATTACATTTGTCGGCGCTGCAGCATTAGCTCGCGGGAGACACGGCACCCCCACACTCACTGATGGTTAACAGTAGTTACAGTACGTCCCTCTTTCCTTTTGTTTTAAAAGGAGAAAAACTGACAGTCCTCACAGTCAGCTGGAAATATGTTTCAGTATTACCTTCCTTCCAAAATGACTGAAACACTAGACCCATCCATCCATCCATCCATCCATCCATCCATCCATCCATCCATCCATTCATTTTCATCCGCTTATCCGGAGTCGGGTTATGGGGGCAGTAGCCTAAGCCGAGAGGCCCAGACTTCCCTCTCCCCAGCCACTTGGGCTAGCTCCTCTGGGGAAATTCCAGGGCATTCCCTGGCCAGGGGACATAGTCCCTCCAGCGTGTCCTGGGTCTTCCTTTAGGCCTCCTCCCGGTTGGATGTTCCCGGAAAACCTCACCAGGACTAGAAGCCCGAGCCACCTCAACTGGCTCTTCTTGATGTGGAGGAGCAGCGAATCTACTCCAAGCCCCTCCCGGATGACCATGCTTCTCACCCTATCTCTAAGGGAGAGCCCAGCCACTCTGCGGAGAAAACTAATTTCGGCCGCTTGTATCCACGATCTCGTTCTTTCGGTCACTACCCAAAGCTCATGACCATAGGTGAGAGTAGGAATGTAGATCGACCGGTAAATCGAGAGCTTCGCCGTCTGGCTTAGCTCTCTCTTCACCACGACAGACCGGTACAACGCCCGCATCACTGCAAATGCAGCTCCAATCCACCTATCGATCTTGTGCTCCATCTTTCCCTCACTCGTGAACAAGACCCTGAGATACTTAAACTTCTCCACTTGGGGCAGGACCTCATCCCTGACCCGGAGAGGGCATTCTACCCTTTTCTGAATCAAGACCATGGTCTCAGAATTAGAGGAGCTGATTCTCATCCCGGCTGCTTCACACTCGGCTGCAAACCACTCCAGCGAAAGCTGAAGATCACGTTCTGATGAAGCCAACAGGACCACATCATCTGCAAAAAGCAGAGACCTGATCCTCAGGCCACCAAAACGGATGCCCTGCACACCTTGGCTGCGCCTAGAAATTCTGTCCATAAAGGTTATGAACAGAATTGGTGACAAAGGGCAGCCTTGGCGGAGTCCAACTCTCATTTGGAACGAGCTTGACTTACTCCCGGCATTGGGGACCAAGCTCTGACACCTGTCATACAGGGACCTAACAGCCCGTATCAGAGGGCCTGGTACCCCATACTCCCGGAGTACCCCTTTCAGGGTCCCCTGAGGGACGCAGTCAAACGCCTTCTCCAAATCCACAAAACACGTGTAGACTTGTTTGGCTAACTCCCACGCACCCTCCAGGACCCTCCCAAGGGTATAGATCTGGTCCCACGGCCAGAACGAAAACCACATTGCTCCTCCTGAATCTGAGGTTCAACAATCCGCCTGACCCTCCTCTCCAGAACCCCTGAATAGACCTTACCAGGAAGGCTCAGGAGTGTGATCCCCTGTAGTTGGTCCTACTTTTTAAATAAGGGGACAACAACCCCGGTCTGCTAGTCCAGTGGGACTGCCCTCGATGTCCATGCGATATTGCAGAGCTGCGTCAGCCAACACAGCCCCACAACATCCAGAGCCTTAAGGAACTCCGGGCGGATCTCATCCACCCCTGGAGCCTTGTCACAGAGGAGCTTGAAACACTAGACCTATTTTGGATTTTGTCACTGTAAAATTCTCACTACTTTCTTACATACTGCACCTTTAAGAACAGGAGTGATGTGCTCAGTTCTCTTGGTTCTTGTTAAGACTGTAGCAGCAGCATTCTAAATAAGCTGCAGGTGCTTCACAGCTACTGGCTTAAAATATTATCTCAATGTCGTCTGCTTTTTTGTCAACAAGAAAGAATGATAAATCAACAAATGTTTTCAATTTAATGAGTCTATTTATGTTTTTATTGCATTTATAGACAGATTTCTCTAATCTAACCTGATTCTGGTTCAGATGAGTCCAATTATATTTGAACTCTGAAGAACTTTAAAGGGAAACAAAATAGTTCCAAGTGAGATGGAGGGAGAGGCAATGATAACTGGTCATTTAAACTACAAAACACCTGATATCTGCTAATGTAATTCATATTTCAGCAAAGTGTTACACGAAAAAACACTCATCAGTAGACAGTTCATACCGTAAATCCTCTAATACAGGCCTGTATTCAATTAATTAATTAATTCAACGCACTGTGCCAGAGCGTCGGTTCTGACATGCGATCGTTCATGTCGGTTCATTTCCTTTAATATTTTCTGTCTTTTATTTGCGCCTGATGTATTTCCCTGCTGTGGAGCGGGGCACATCACCTTGTCCTCCGGTGACGCACCGATCACTGATGCGGCCGCCAAGCAGGGAGCACTCCGCTGTTTTTGCGGTCGGTAGATCTGCGTCCAGAGCACGGCCACAGTAACATTATCAAATCAGGTGTCGCCTCCTCAAAAACTAATTTAACACGCGTTCGTTCACGTCGGCTCATTTCCTTTAATGTTTTCTGTCTTTTATTTGCGCCTGATGTGTTTCGCTGCTGTGGAGCGGGGCGCATCACCTTGTCCTCCGGTGACGCACCAATCACTGATGCGGCCGCCAAGCAGGGGGCACTCCGCTGTTTTTGCGGTCGGTAGATCTGCGTCCAGAGCACGGCCACAGTAACATTATCAAATCTGGTGTCGCTGCCTCAAAAACTAATTTAACACGCGATCGTTCACGTCGGCTCATTTCCTTTAATGTTTTCTGTCTTTTAATAGCGCCTGATGCGTTTCGCTGTGGAGCGGGGCGCATCACCTTGTCATCCGGTGACGCACTGATCACTGTTGCGGCCGCCAAGCAGCGAGCACTCCGCTGTTTTTGCGGTCGGTAGATCTTTTAGAACTGCAGTTCAAAGGTAACTCATAAGGTGAATATATATGAACCCAGGTAGCAGTTTCTCTTTAGGATTGAGAGGAGATGCAGGAAGATAATAAACAGGCAGGACAGAAAAATAGTCAAAAATAGTCAAATAAAAACAAGTTAGTTTTTGTACCTGGTGGTTGCAACAAACAGACACCATTGAAGGTAATCAGAAATGAGGAACAGAAAATGAAATAATTATTTTAATGTTTAGAGCAGCAGGAACTCCGGGAGGCTGCAGGCGCATCTGTGAGTTTGCGGCCGCTGCACAGGGGGAGGGGGGAGAGGGCTGAAGCAGAAACTACCGTTGTTAAAAGAAATGTGTTTAACTTTGAAAATGTGGGCGCAATTTTAATTGTCAAAAACTCCAGCGAACCATTAGTTCATTTTGCTCAAATAGAAATAGAGGCCTGCTTCTAATTCTGGTCCTCCTTCCAATAAAGGCCTGGAGCTTGATGAGCTTGAGTCAAATACAGGCCCGGGCCTGTATTAGAGGATTTACAGTATTTATTTTTGAAGTTTTTCAGCTCCTATTGTTTTCATTTAATCTACTTTTTCATCTTTTTTGTCATATATTACAAACCTGTTGTCAGAATGTTGTTTAATATATTTGCTCCCTTGAAGCTTCCTGCATATTTAGTTTTTATTTGAGGGTTTAAACCAAAATTTTGTATAATTATCCAGAAAAAACAAACTGTTGATGGATAATAATAAATTGTACTTTTTAAAATTCCAGCTGTTTGACAAGCCATTTTTTAAGATTCATGTCGTGTTAAACTAATCGTGGCACTAGGATGTATTTTGTGTCTTTCAGCTCATTTTCTGTGTTTCAAGCACTAGGGCCTTTTTGGTTTTTTAAACAATCCAATGCCCTTACCCACCATGTGATTAGCGAGTGTTACATTCACACATTGTGAAATAATCCTTTTAAATGTGGCAGTGCAGAGTTGCAGAGTGAGTGGGTGTTTTATTCACCACATAATGTATAGGATCATGTGTCAGAAGTGTCTTTTCTCCTGCCGTCTTGCCCCATGTTTACCTGGCAGCTCAGTCATGATGCAAGCGCGATAAGGGGTGGTCGGTCAACATTAGCTAATGACGACGTGGATCAACACGAACCATAAAGGTGCCGTTTGCAAACAGACCAATGTGGGCTCACGCCGCCCTCTTCTTGTGTTTTTAATCACTGTTCTTTTCCTCATTGCTGATGGAAAGCAAACACAGACAATATGTTTTACTTTTTCTGTTTTGGTTTGTCCCTTCCTCTCCTTTCAGCTACATGAACAACCTGGACCGCATCTCGGCCCAGGACTACATCCCCACTGAACAGGATGTGCTGCGTGTTCGCTTCCCCACCACGGGCATCCACGACTACGCCTTCACCGTCAAGAACATCACACTAAGGTGGAGCGGCCTCACATTACCAGCCTCTCACAGGGACAAATCTAATACCCGCACTATTCACTGCTCGCTGAATCAAACACTATTGACTCTTGCGGCGTCTTTGTCTGGCCACGTCTGTTGGGAAGCAATAGGATCAGATTTCTAATTGCCTCTATGCAAAGCTCCTGCTGCGAAGAGAGGTGTCACTTTGTGCTTTATTTAGATCTTAAACTCACAAATTTATAGAGGTTTAAAATTAAATCTGCATGTAACAGGATTTGGTTTGAAGATTTACAAGTTTTAAAGGCAAAATGTCAATTTACTATAGAATGTAATTTGGCTTTAATTTTGATATACAACATGGTCCTGTGATGGTTTTTTATGGGTCTGAGTTTTTGAATAAAAAGAGTGGCATGTTGTCATGATGACGTACATCTCAGCTTCCCTGCTGTGTCTTTTAACAGTTTCATGAGTTTCTCATGGGTGTGGGAGAACTGGGATGGTCTCAAATGCTTTCCTTCTTTATTTATTTATTTATTTATTTTTGGCTCTCAGTTTGAGCACATTTGGTTTCATGAATAAATTTTGTATTGTGCATACGTTATTAAGCTTCTCAAAAACCAGGGTTCACTTATTTATAAAAATCGGTCTTAATAAGGTTTTTGTTCTGGACAAAATGGTTTATTGAAAACTCTTTCTCTCTGTTGTTTTCCCTCTGGCAGGATCGTGGATGTCGGTGGTCAGAAGTCCGAGCGTCGGAAGTGGATCCATTGCTTTGAAAATGTCACCTCACTCATCTTCTTGGCCTCCCTCAGCGAGTACGACCAGGTTCTGGAGGAGAGAGAGTCAATCGTAAGAGTAACTTGATGTCCTTGTAAACCAGTAATAAGAGGAACACTTTCACTCACAGTCTGTACGGAAAGTATTCAGGCCCCCGTCAATTTTTCACTCTGTTATATTGCAGCCATTTGCTAAAATCAATTAAATTCTTTTTTTTCCTCCTTAATGTCCAAACAGCACCTCGTTTTGACAGGTAAACACAGAATTTTCAAAATTTCTGCAGATTTATTAAAAAAGACAAACTGAAACATCACATGGTCCTAAGTATTCAGACCCTTTGCTCAGTATTTAGTAGCAGCACCCTTTTGAGCTAACACAGCCATGAGTCTTCTTGGTAAAGATGCAACAAGTTTCTTACACCTATATTTGGGGATCCTCTGCCATTCCTCCCTTGCAGATCCTCTCCAGTTCTGTCAGGTTGGATGGTGAACGTTGGTGGACAGCCATTTTTAGGTCTCTCTCCTGGGCCATTCAAGAACAGTAATAGAGTTGCTGTAAAGCCACTCCTTCAATGTTTTAGCTGTGTGCTTAAGGTCGTTGTCATGTTGGAAGGTAAACCTTCAGCCCAGTCTTAGGTCCTGAGCACTCTGGAGAAGGTTCTTGTCCAGGATTTCCCTGTACTTGGCTGCATTCATCGTTCCCTAGTTTGCTACCAGTCGACCTGTCCCTGCAGCTGAAAAACACCCCCACAACAGGATGCTGCCACCGCCATGCTTCAGTCTGTGGGGACTGTATTGGACAAGTGATGAGCAGTGCCTGACTCTCCCCACACATACCACTTATGGCGCTTACACATTAGCGTCGGCACGGTCGGGGTTTGGTCGGGCTGGATGGCGTGAGTTCGATCTCGAATGGGTGGTGTCGTGTTCACATATGAATCCGAGGGCCTTCTCAGGAATGCGGAAATCCCCGGGCCTGTGGGCGGCGTTTAATACGTGTGGGAAAGTCTGCTCCATAAGGTAAACGGAAGGCAGACATGAGCTGTGTTGCCTTTGGAGACTCTGAACCACATTATTTTATTAATCTGCTGTGAGGGTCCTCATAATCTTGCGCACGCACGCACGCACGCACGCACGCACGCACGCACACACACACACACACACACACACACACACCACACAGAGAGAGAGAGAGCTATTATTTTCTCTCATTTCCACACTGAACTGCAGCTTCGGAACGGCAGCTCCATGCTACAGACTTTACTCCACATCATCCAGCAGGAAACCCCCCGCTGTCTCATTCTTCTCGCAGATTGGAGGCGGTAGGCGTAATTTCAGCCGGCCAATCAGTCCGTAGTGTCGCCTCGGTCCCAGTCTGACAGCTGGGGAGAAGGTCTGAGAAAGAGTCGCCTCGGCACCGAAAACACAAATCTGACCTGTGTGTGAAACCAAATTCCGGTGCCGTTCGATACCTTTTGGGGCCTTGCTGACGCTAATGTGTAAGCGCCATTAGAATTGAGACCAAAAAGTTCTATTTTGGTCTCGTTAAACCAAAGAATCTTATTTCTCAAGATCTCGGGGAGTCTTCAGGTGTGTTTGAGCTAACTCCATGCAGGCTTTCATGTGTCTTGCACTGAGGAGAGGCTTCCGATGGGCCACTCTGCCATAAAGCCCTGACTGGTGGATGGCTGCAGTAATGGTTGACTTTCTACAACTTTCTCCCATCTCCTGACTGCATCTATGTAGCTCAGCCACAGTGGTCTTTGGGTTCTGCTTGACCTCTGTCACCAAGACTCTTCTGATGAGGTCTTCTGGGAAGGTCACTGGCTGCAAACTCCTCCATACAGGACCTGTACACCTCCAGGACATTGCAGCATGCAGGTCGGATAGCAGCTGACCCGTGTCACCCTGGACACAGTCTTTTTGACTCTCTCCCATCTGGTAGGAGGCTCAGATCCATTCACACCAGAACCTCTCGCCAAAGGAATGGTTTCTTCCCCTCTGCTGTTGGACTCATGAACGACAATCCTAGGGCTGCCCACTCTAGTCGCTTGGTTCCAGTCACATGACCTGGTGTTGTGTTTGTACCTGAACGGATCCACTCTGATTTGTACCTCCAAGGTGCAGTTTCTCTAATTATGTCTACTTTATATTATTATTTCATCATGATTATATTCTTACTTCCTATATTTGCTTATCTCTTTTTTTTTCTTTCTTTCTTGCACCAAGTACAGCAGAAATTTCCTAAAGCTGTGATTCTCGCACATATGGCCATAACACCCTTCTGATTCAGATTCTCCCCCGGCAGCTCAGTTTGGCTGGACGGCCTGCTCTAGGAAGGGTTCTGGACGTCTCAAACGTCTTCCATTTAAGGATTATGGGGGCCACTGTGCTCTTAGGAACCTTAAGTGCTGCGGAGATGTTTTTGTAACCATGGCCAGATCTGTGCCTTTCCACAATACTGTCTCTGAGCTCTTCAGGCAGTTCCTTTGACCTCGTTATTCTCATTTGCTCTGGCATGCATTGTGATCTGTATGGTCTTATATAGACGGGTGTCTGGCTTTCCTAATCAAGTCCAATCAGTATAATCAAACCCAACTATACTCCAGTGAAGGTGTAGGTCGGACCATCTCAAGGATGATTAGAAGAAATAGAAAGCACCTGAGTTAAATACATGAGTGTCACAGCAAAGTGTCTGAATACTTTATATATTTAATCTTTATTTATCCAGATGAGTCAATTGAGAACTCATTCTGTCTCACACCAATGATCTGGCCAAGCGGCTGCAGCAACAAACATAGTTAGCTTTACATCAAAGACAAACAGGTAAGATAAAAACATACAAGATATAAACAAGATAAAACAGATAGACATAAAGACGAAGGACTGTTCTCACATATAATATGTACAAGCAATCAAAACAGACTTAAAACAGTCTTTAAGTGCTCAGAAGCACATTGATCAGAAACTATTGATTGTGTAGTGTTGATAAACTACATATTTAGGAATGAAAGGCTGTTGCTATTCAGCTTATGTTTTATTTCCTATGAGATCAAACATTGACAAATGAAATTATATGCACACACACACACACACACACACACACACACACACACACACACACACACACACACACACACACACACACACACACACACACATATATATGGATAGAAATTCATACACCAACTTGCTTGGTCTATGTTTAATCAAAAGATTAATATTTAATTTTAAATATTTAATTTAATAACAAAGTTATTTGTTAATTCAGAAGACCTAAAGATCTTTGTTCATTCAGTGATCAATATGCACCCACTCTGTTTATTTCAATGAAGAGTTAAGTTTAAAAAGTTAAGAAATTTATTACTAAACAATTTAAAAGACAATTTTTAAAAGACAATTTATAAAAGACAATTTTTAAAAGCTTTGGTATTAAATAGCAACCCTGTGAATGGATTAATCTAAGCTGGAAGTGTGTTTGTTTGCAGGCGAATGCAATGTTCTCAGAATGTGTATCTTGAGAGAAGACGTGTTCTGGTTAGAATTTGGTTTGCAGATAAACTTAAGTTGTTCTTATTAAAGAGCATTCAGATGCAATCTGTCGGAAGTGTCTACCTCACCCAGTTAGGAGACCCCCTTTTGCATCCGAGATGTCAGGAGGGGATGATGACCCCAAGCACGGGATGGGTAGAAGAACCTTAGTGCGACCAAGTCGGTCCTGAGATGTCTCCGGGTCACCACGACTGATGAAACTGGTTGCGTCACAAAAAAAAAAATTCTCTGAGTTTGCGTCATCTTTGTTCTGCAGGTTTCGTTTGTTGTGTCGTAGCAATTCTGCCAGCGTGACAGAAATCGCTGGTTGGTTACAGAGCGTGTGGGCGGCCATCCCACTTCTCTAGAACTCACTTGCTAAATGCCGAGAGTTCTGTTTTATAAGATGGGCATTTCCTGGTCTACGAATCAGGTTTTGACATGTAGAGATTTTAACATACCTCAGAAGTTATGGTGTTATGGAAAAAGACATGTGAGTGCAGTTAACCTTAACCTGATTTACTGTGTCCTGTATGATTGTGTATAAGTGCACATGATCTTCTTGTCACTGTTAAACATTACTGATTATCATAAATAATAAGTATTATTAACCAAAGAATAATAATTCATTTTGGTAATTAAACACAGTTAAAATGAACCATGATGATTATTTATGAACATTGTAATAGACAGTGAAAAGAGTTTATTAAAAATTATTCTTTTAAATCTTGAAGTGTCCTTCGTCTTGCGGATGGAACAGCAGTCAGATAAAGGCAGTCAGATTAAAGGGGTGGTAGACCGACATTCAGTCTCCTGTGAAAGAAACACTGTAGATTGTCGTAGCAGCCAGGATCAAGGTGACCCAGGCTGTGTCTCTGACCTGAGGGTCAAGAATCAGGCCATTCAGTGACGCTACAATTGTAATGAATTATTGAAGGTGGAATGGAACGCAGGTGCTTTAGCAGGATCGTGGATACTTAGGACTATGTGATGTTTCAGTTTGTCTTTTTAAGTAAATCTGCATACATTTCTAAAATTATGGTTTTTTCTTTCAATATGAGGTGCTTTGTGTACATTAAGGAGGAAAAAATGAATTTAAAGAGCAAGTCACCCCCTACCAGAGTCTAACTCCACTCCCACTTCATGTTTGAAAAATGCAACACATGCTGTTGCCTGGCAGACCGAGAAGGCGGAGCTGCTAACAAATACACACACACACACAGGCTCACGACAGCATTGTGACATCATAATGTACCAGTTTACATCATAGCATACCTCTTAGCCAATAGCAGTGGCAGATTTAAATTAGAATACAGTGCAGAGTTTTTACCTGACAACGGCACAACACTGCCAGTTTTAGGCAGAATATTTAAATTTTAACTAAGATGCACTGAAGTGCCAAATTATTGACGACACGTGTCTGCAGCACGATTAGACACTCGTTTATTTAGTTTATCAGCAAAAAAAAGTTTATTTGGGGGTGACTTGCTCTTTAAAGGATTTTAGCAAACGGCTGCAATAAGACAAAGAGTGAAAAAATGACAAGAGTCTGTACCCGCTGTACTTGATTTTTGTATTTAAAGGAAACACTTATTTATTATAGAATTAGATAATTATTACTACTTTATGTAAAAAAATAATTTTCATGTTTTCATTTTTATATATATTTTTTAGAAATAAAAGTTTGGTGATTTAAGTTAATAAGCTGCTAATAAAATAGGAAATAGTTATTATTCAAGTTGCCAGTAATCTAGTCTTGGATGATAAAAAGTATTTTTATCAGAACTTGTTACACTGGCTGCTTTTTTATTTAAAGGCTTTAATTTTAATGTTTTACTTTGACTTGAAAACATCCACTTGAATTCATAATTAAGTTTCTGTCTCAAACACCAGCTGAAGAGATGAGTTTAAAGCTTTTTACTTTCTGAATCGTTCCCAGAGTGAGATTCCAACGTTTGCCTGGTCACTTTACAAAGAAAAGCTTTTATTAAAGAGCAAGTCACCCCCTACCAGAGTATTACTCCACTCTCACTTCCTGTTTGAAAAATGCAACAAATGCTGTTGCCTAGCAGACCGAGAGGGCAGAGCCACTAACAAATACACACACTCACACAGGCTCACAACGACACTGTGACATCTTATGGTACTAGCTAACGCTCTAGGGCACCTCTTAGCCAATAGCAATGGCAGATTTAAATTCAACTGCAGTGCAGAGTTTTTACCTGACAACGGCACAACACTGAGTTTTACACGGAAAATTTTAATTTTAACTAAAACGCACTTAAGTGCAAAACTATTGACCACACGTGTCTGCAGCACAATTAGACACGCATTTAAATAGTTAATCAGAAAAAAAGTAGATTTTGGGGTAAATCATGAAGCAAAGCTACTTTAAATTCCATTTTAGTTATGAATTATTTGTATTTTTAATTAAACAGATTATTAACTATTATTTTTCCACATACATTTTCAAAAAAATTTTAAGTGTAAAAATAGCTTTTAATTTATTTATCTCATTTAAAATATGCAATTAACCAAATATTATTTATTTTTTAGATAATTTCTTGATATTTTGATGTGTTTGCTATCAAATTAGTTATCAGTGTTTATTTTGAGCAGTTTTTATTCTTTTGTATCCTTTTTAATAATTTTATCAATTTTAAAGTCAGCAAAAGAAAAAATTAGACTTTTGCTAACAACATGGAGTAAAATCATTTAGATTTGTTAGACTAATGAAACTCTTAAAGTTTCTAATTTGCCTTCATTCAGTCACCGATGTCATTCTCCCACCAGCAGGTGTCACTGTTGTACAAGATATCAGTATCTTTTCCTCCGTGCCTCTTTTTGCCCTGCATCTCCTCCCATTCAGCACTAAGCCGCTTATCTCTCCCAGACGCTTTTTAGACATTCATTAACCTCAATGTTGGTCAATTTTCTGCAGGAACCTCAGGTTCTGTCCTCCTTCCTCTCTGTCTGAAACACCTCCTCATCTGTTAAAATCCACGTTTGTGGCGTTTTGCTGAAAACTGTCCCACTGAGCTGAAGCACAAACATCTGTTCTTTCTCAGAACCGAATGCAGGAGAGTCTGGCTCTGTTTTCCACCACCATCCATTCTGCATGGTTCATGAACACCTCCATCATCCTCTTCCTCAACAAAACCGACATCCTGGCTGACAAGATCCAAACCTCGGACCTGAGCCGATACTTCCCCAAGTTCACAGGTCAGCTGGCCTTAGATTAGCTATTTGCTTCTCATTGAAATAGAGAATTATAATCTTGACGTTAACAGAGAAGCATTCACTCAAATTATTGGTTGTACATGATTATAAGTTTTAGAATTTATCTAAAATTTATTTTATTTTCCTTTTTGTCTCCTCATACACAAGAGGAGCATGTAGTTATGTAGCTCAAACAAATCATCACCTCAAAGTTTTTAATTATTTCACTAAATAAATGGTGTTTGCTCTGGTTAGAACGTTAGCGTTCGATAATGTTTCTGTTCTTGTTTCGCTTTTGAAGATTTAAATGAAAGCCTAAAAAGAGCTTGAAAAGACACAACTTGAGACTTTTTCTCCACTAATTGATTTAATAAAAAATATATTTGCGTTTCAGAAATCTTCCAAAAGTACTTAAACTATCACACTTGAGAGTATTATTTACTGTGTAGTCAGCAGACCGAGGAGAGCTGTGTTAACTGAAACCTGTTGGATCCGACTTCCAGACAAGTAATGACAGCAGAACGGAGTCGGAAGCTGGTTATCATTCTGTCTCAGAGCCCTCAGCAAGCTCAGCGGCTGCTGTTTATTCTCATCACAACGAAGCGGACAGACTCACTGTCAGGACACTGGGACTGCCGTGTTGCTTTCATCCTCGCCGTTTCCTCTCATCACCTTCATATTCTAGTTTAAAGACAAATGATCCTGTCTTTCATTTCTCCTTCTCTTTTGTTTTTATATTCTTTTGGCTCTTCTTTTCCCCTCTCCTTGACTCACTTCTTCCATTTCCTTGTATATTGCCTATATTTCTGTATCATTTCCTTTTTTCTTCCTCCATTCCATTCCTTTCGTCATTTTTCCTTCTTCTGTCCACTCTCCTTTTAACCATCCATCTATCGAATTCTTCTTTCTTTAGCTCTGCTGTGTACACACACACACACACACACACACACACACACACACACACACACACACACACACACACACACACACACACCTCCATCCCCACCACCTTCCTTCTGTTACCCTTGGCAACTACAGACAGATACTTTGCTCCCTACACCCCCACCTGATCACCCCCAGGTGTTCACATCTGAGCCTGCGTGTGTGTGTGTGTGTGTGTGTGTGTGTGTGTGTGTGTGTGTGTGTGTGAGCTCCTTTAGTGTTGCACCACTAGCATTAGCAGGGTAAAATAATGACTCATACAGGGTCAAGGTACTTGATGTCAATATAACCTTAATGGCGACTGGGAGCAGCTCCTGCCATCGGCTGCTGTTTGCTGCTAATGCTGTTGTGTTCCTGTGCCGGGGCTGCGTGGCCCTTATTACTGCTGCTCTAACTGCATTTGAAGGCTTTGGCTGTCAGGTATCTCTGGAGCCCCAGGCTGTTTTGGAACAGAGAGAAACTACTTTGAACCAGTTCTAAACAATTAAATTATATCAGGAAACATTTCCTGCTTCTGCTTGAAGATTTGACAAAGTGTGCTTTGCACCTAGGAGAGTTTGGGTGTCTTTAGCTGCTCCGATGAGAGGAAATAAATCCACACAGAACACGTGTCGTCTCTGTTCCTGCTTTTTCATTGGTTTTACTGTTTGTGTGAAACTTTGTTTAGAAAGCCAGGATTGTGCATGGACGACCCAAATCTAAAGTTTGTCAAAATGGCTTATTTTTCATTGTAAAAGTAAAAATCAAGAATGAGTTGATTGGATCCAAATTCTCATTTAGTGTTCATTTATTTCAAGAGGTCTTATGATTCTAATTTAAATGTAAGTGATTTTTTAAAGAGCAAGTCACCCACTACCAGAGTCTTTCTCCATTTCCACTTCCTGTTAGAAAAATGCAACAAATGCTGTTGCATGGCAGACCAAGAGGGCAGAGCCACTGACAAATACACACACACAGGCTCACAACGGCTTTGTGACATTATAATGTACCAGCTGACGTCATAGAGTACCTCTTTACCTTAAGCGATGGTAGATTTAAATTCAAATGTAGTGCAGAGGTTTTATCTGAAGAGGGCGCAACAAGTTTTAGGCAGAACATTTTTCTTTTTCCTAAGATGCTCTAAAGTGCCAAATTATTGACTACACATGTCTACCTCATGGTTAGACACTCATTTATATAGTTTATCAGCAAAATGAAGTTGATTTGGGGGTGACTTGCTCTTTATTGATTAGCAGCATCATGTCTCATATGTGTCCGTAATTCTCCTCTCTTGTTTCCACCATCTCCTCCATCATACAGACAAAAGGCAAAATGCCGAGACCGCACAGAAGTTCATCCTTCAAATGTACGAGGATCGCGCCGTAAACCCTGAAAACCAGAAAGACTGGAAAACTCTGTACCCGCACTTCACCTGTGCAACGGATACCAACAATATTCGCAAGGTCTTCACCGACGTCCGGGACACAGTGCTGCTTAAATCTCTGAGGGACTACGGAGTCATCTGAGCTCCATCCCATCACTGAGGGCTCTCACTTCCATCTGGACCATTACCTCCAGAGAGCTCAGATGAACTTTTGTTTTTGAAGTAAAAAACGCCAAACCTTTCTCAAACCTGCCAGATCACCAGGCCTCCCCTCTTTCCTCCTAAATTTGACTTTAATGAAACATCAAGAGGAGATGGAAGGTGCTTCTCCTCCACTCCTCCTTTTCTGAAGCAGCAGACACAAAAGTAACGGGAATCACCCATACATTTCTCAGTCTGCCCCTTTTCTTTATTTGTAAGATGAAGAAGCATGAATGAGGTTGTAGAAGCATCACAGTTCCTAATTGAGGCAGGAGTGGAGCTGCTGTGAAGTGCTGCGAGGCCATTAACAGTATAATGACTTTCAGAATGTCGAGATGGGGGAACGCACGGGTGCGCCAGAGCTGCCGTACACACATTAAACCGCTTTAGGTGCACCCACCAGGTACTGGCAGGTGGAAGAGTGGCTCACACACAGAAATGCAACAGAAAATTTCCAAGAAAGACCTTCATTAGACATGACGAGGATGAGGAGCCTCCTGAAGGTGCAAAATCAAGCCATTGTTGATGGAGAAAACAGTTTTTGGAGCTGATTGTTGATCATATGAGTTAAAACTACAATGCCATCCCTCACCTGACTGATTTTGTTGTAAACACTGATAATCCTCTAATTAAGAGGTGCTTGACTCCCTATTGCTACATATTATTCCTAACCTGAAGTGTAAAAAATAGCGTCTAAAACTGGTTTAGTGCCTATGGGCATTCATTTTAGTGTTTAAACAATCCTGGGACATCATTTCCTCTTTTCCATCCATCCAAATGGTCTGTATCTGATTATCTTGTTTTAAATCAATTGTTAATAATTTGAGTGCAGATCAAGAATAAAGTCTCATTATTACAGCAATAATAAAAGTGAGCGTACCAGGAGGAAGACAATAATAATAATAATAATAGTCAACATGGGTTTTTTAAGAGAAACCTCTAAACTAAAAATGTAAACAAGAAAAGAGCTGCTTGGAGAAGTCCGCTCTCAGCTCACACAGAAACCACTTTCTAGTTCATCAAAATCAATTTGGTTCTGGAAAGTCAGGGTGTGAATAACCTGTAATGTATTTGTGTAAACAAGCAGTCCGCTGCGTTGCGGGAAGAATAATTACATGATGTCAGTAAGAGCTCAGCGTCAGCAGGCTGCAGTAGGAAATTTAATATTGATCAGAAGTGTGACTTCCACCGCTGTGAGCATCATTCAGCACTGAGAGGAAAATGACATTGAAATTCATGAAATGAACTGACGTGTGTGTGTGTGTGTGTGTGTGTGTGTGTGTGTGTGTGTGTGTGTGTGTGTGTGTGTGTGTGTGTGTGTGTGTGTGTGTGTGTGTGTGTGTGTGTGTGTGTGTTTTCTGCTTCACCTCCACTTGCTGCACTTTCAGCACTCCGATGCTGTTGGATTCTTCAAACCTGTAAAAGTTGTGATTATTTTGTGAGAGCTTATTTTGTAATACTGTTCAACGACAGCACATTAAACTCTCTCCTCGGAGCATTTTCAGACATTTGGCAGCAGGAACCTTCTCTCATTTCGTGCCAGTGTTTAGATTTTGGTGAAGGAAAAAACAATACTTCTTTATAGCATTTATTAAAAATTAAAATTAGAACACAACTCAATCCTGATGTTTCTGTTTCGTCACAGGAACAAACTGGTCTCGGAGGCGATCGTCTGAGACTCTGTCACCCAACGTTTGCAAATAACAGCCTCCAGGATTTGCATAGGATTGACACATGCATGCAGCAAGTCATTTCCATAAACGGTGTGTGTTTACCTGCAGTGCCGGCTAGGAGAAGCATGCAGACGGCACAACGTTCACTCTTGTCGGTCTGCAAATGCAGATGCCACAGTTGAATATGGAAGCTGTCTGATTACATCATTAGCAAGTGGCGAATCCAGCCTCCAAATAAAAGTCAGTCATTTTTGCTTAACTGACTACTGCACAACAAAAACACACTCATGCACTTCACAGATATTACATTGGAAGGAACATTGTTCAAGCAAATCCTCCTTGATGTTTAGTTGTAAACACCCAAAGCAGCGTGCACGTGCAGGCAGCGGCAGCAGCAAACCGATTGAGGCTCTGCAGAAACTCAAATTGCTTCAGAAACAGATGTTTGAAACTCTGAGTGTGTTGCAGCAGGAACTCACGCAGTTAACTTAATCCTGCTAACAGGTTTTCTCTGAAGAATCCTCTATCTTTGAGTCACTGTTTAATTTACTCTCCGTTTCAAATTCATACTTTATAACTAGAACTTAGGGCTAGGCAATGAATCAAAAATGTATTGTTTTCAAAATTTCTGACTAATGGAGATATTTTTTCCATGTCAATAAAGAAATGAAAAGATGTGTGTAGATCATCGACATATAAATATTGGACAGTGGGTTTCCATAGACTCTCCAATAACACGTTTGTGAAGAAAAATGGGAGGTGTGACTGTGTCACAAGTTCCGTCAAGCCCAGACAATTCCACAAAAGGGAAGAGAGGTGGAGCTGAGGGTGGGGCTGTAAGGCTGGGATCAACTGATGACACCCGGTCGAACTAGCTACAAGCTAACAAGGAGGTGGGAGCTAAGCTAAAGGAGGTAGCAACCTAGCTACAACCAGAGTTAACTGTGCACAACACCAGAGCTTCTGAGTCAGAGATACGCCGGGCTGACCGCTGGGTAAAACCGGGTGGAACACAGAGGTCTCCCGAGAGCTTCACAAGCCGGCAGCTGCACAGCAGGCAAGCGCCGTTGCGATCTGAGATGCGCAGAACTGCCGTTGGGGAGAACCGGGTGGAAAGATTTCCATCCCAGAGCTCCACAAGCCGTCAGCCCGCGCAGCAGACAGAAGCCGCGATCAGACAGAGATGTGCCGAGCTGCGGGGAAGGGAGAACCGGGTGGAAAACATTGGTCTCCCAAGAGCTCCACAAGCCGATAGTCGGAACCCAGCTCCACCAACATGTTATATTTCAAGCCATTTTCTAAAGTGCAGCATTATGTTAAATGCACTGGGTTCTACCCTATTACATTTAAATTTCATGGTTAAACAGTACATGTTAAAATCTAAGCTCAGCTTGGCAGTGACCTAAAATACATAAATATAATTTTACTTACCGAAAAAAATGAAGTGGAGACTCCTTGGACGCTCTATTAGTGCAATTAATGTCACAGCAAGTCATTTTGTCCAACAATTGCACAAAAAATATCCAAACAAGAACGCACAAACGCTACAACTAATGGTCTAAGTTGAGAGACTGAAAATGACGGAACAGTTTTCAGGCGAGGCAGAGGCTCAGACTGAGGCCTTTCCACGGAGCTAGCTCTGCGGTCACGTGGGTCTGATGCTCATTAATTATACAGAATTTTAGGCTTTTAATACACTTAGACAGAAGAGTGAGAAAAAAATTCACCCCCCTCAGAGTTGTCATGAGTGTTAACTAGATAATTTAAACAGAAAACATGTTTTGGTACCAGGCTGTAAACATGTTTATTTCTGCTGTGAAATTGATATTTTTAACATGGGAGTCATGAGGATTTGCTCGCTTCTGACACCAGCCCCCAGCAGATGAGGGTGGAACTGCAATTTATTTCACTTCCGCTTTGGCCTCAATTTTTCACCCGCATTGTGGGGGCTTGGTGTAGATTGGCAACGTTGGTGTCCTTTTAAGAAGCTGTACCACCTTGAGTCATGTAAAAGTGACTTCATGTATTACATGTGACAGCCCCATCTAGTGGACAACATTTGTTTCTGTGCATACCTGTAGTTATCCATTTATCGTTATCGAGATTAAATCCTGAAAATATCGTGATATTGATTTTAGGCCATATTGCCCAGCCCTACTAGACCTAAATTATTTTTGGAGTGTGTTTCTCCAAAAGCAAGTCAGATACATTATTTTATTTTTCATAAGCACAACTTTAATCTTGACCCCATCCCTGAGGACATCAGCTTCTTGCACTATAACATTTTATTTTCTTCAATTTAGACCTTGTGTCTACCACTAGGGGCAGTTTAGGATAGGAGAACGTAGGTAGGAGAAGACATGAGTGAGGAGTTAAGATGGATACCTGATTCTGCTCCACGTGATGCAGGTAGGGCTGCAACAAACGATTATTTGGATAATCGATTAATCGGATGGGGTCTCGACACGATTAATCGATTAATCGGATTACATGGGGAAATTTTTAAAAACTGCTAGGGAAACGTTATTTCTCTCCTTCCTTCACTTTATTTAACACAACATTATTAGAAAACACTTCAATAGCAGAAAAACAACATGCCATCACCTAAATTGTCTTATAAGGTGTATAGACAGAGACCCTAAGCTACATCTATCTGTGACCTAAAATGCTTGGTCCAAGTTAAACAGCTTAAGGGCAATTCTCATCTGTTTTGTTTGATCTCATCTGTTAACATTTATTTTAAATGTAATTAAACATAGGCTGTGAATTAATCAAAATTGATCACTATTTCCAAAACTGACTGAAAAAATACCAAATAAAACAAAAGTAAATGAATGCCATCCTCCTTACGATGATGCCCTGGGCAACTGCCATAAAGTCACATCAAGAAATGCTGCTGATCATTCCAATGATCCCAAATAGACTCACATTAGGCCACATGAAAGCAACTGAACCCAAAAATATATTAACCAGTATATAACGGCACTCTCACACAACACGCCTGCAGCAACAGTTAGGACTCCTCCCTCCCTTTTAAAAGCGTTTTTGCTTCTGAGGACATTGTGGTTGTAAAACCACATGCTAGTAGTCTGGCCCCGGTGTGATCAACCAGTTTCTGTGGGAATGTGACGGCGGAACCAGGGCCAGATTAACACTTTGTTGTACCCTGGGCAACAATATTCAAGGGCTCCATCATCACGACCCAAGGATCACCATAATGTGGTCACATACAGAATATTTTACTGTAATATGCAGTAAATATACTCAATACTTGAATGCCTGACAACACGTAACCCGCCCAGAGTAACCTTTGGCCCACCTCGTGTGGACTGACCAATGAGGAGAGGGTCTTAACTTGAGGCCCTCTCTTCATTGGTCAGTCTGCATGAGACTGACTCTCAACTGACATTCAGTCGTAGGCAGCGAAGCGTCTCTGTGCAGCGCAAAAGCCCGGGTGGACAGTTTGTTTAATGTAGGGTGATCATATTTCCATGTCCAAACAAGAGGACAGGGGATCTGTGCCTATGGCGTCACACTATGGCAACGCCACACAAACCATGTTGGGACCCATTTTTTGTAAGAACTAAATTAATATCAGATTCTGCCAATTAAAGGGCTCTAAAACAATTCATATGTAAATATTTTGCATATTTAATGCAAAATCTAATTTTTCTGCTTTAGTGCTGCAACAAGGTTTTATTAATAATAAATTATTATACCTTTTGTTTTACTACAGCATCGGTAAGCTTCCTGTGCACAGATGATTAAGGATGCTTGTTTCAGCTGTGAGATTAGACGATAGGATCAATGAAAAAATAAGTTGTCACACACTCCATGGAAACTTTCAGAGAATCCACAAATAGTGGCTTTCAAATGGTTTTGTTACTTTTAGCAGGTTTAGAAAAGCAGCAGATGAGACAGCATGTCTGATAATTTAGTTTTTCATCTGATAATATTAGAACATGTCAGTAAAGTCTGAGGGGCTTTTATAAACACCATATAACTAACACTACTGGAGAGGGCATGAATTACACAGAGGCTTCTGGGGAGCCCAGTTATGGGGGGGGGGGGGGGGGGCATTTTGCCTTGGCCCCCAAAATGTCTTGAAACGGCCCTGGGTGTGTGACTGAGTTTTGAAGGTGATCTGAATTGTATCAGATGTATAACTATGACATGTTTATAACTTATTGTTTTTTACTGGTAAAAACGTGTCGTGGAGATAAATCTACCTACATTTGACTTTTCAACACTTTGTTTTGTTTTCTTGTTTTTATTTAACTATTTTCCTGTCCTGTCTGTCTCTCATCTTCCTGCATCTCCTCATAATTCTCCAGAAAATCTGTTGCCTGGATTCTTACCTTTTCACCTCATCAGTTACTTTTGAGCAGATCAAAGGGATCTCCTGACCGAAAAGCGCAGAGCGCGTTTTCGATGCTGCGTGAGGTGACATCACCACAGCAGAGGTGATGAGCTCCACAGTAGCGAGCTTCAGGCAAGACAGAAAATAGAGAACATGTGCGGACATGAACGATCGTGTGCTAATTATAGTTTTTTGGTTGTGCCACTTTGAGAATGGACAGTGCGCTGGAAGCAGCTGCCTGGAACGCTGCGCGACAATGCGGAACCGGTTCGCAGCAGCGCAAGTCTGCCGGCTCTCCATCGCGCTGATCTGCCGGTACCGGCTCTCCCTCACGCTGATCTGCGGCTCTCCCTCGCGCTGATCTGCGGCTCTCCCTCGCGCTGATCTGCCGGCTCTCCCTCGCGCTGATCTGCGGCTCTCCCTCGCGCTGATCTGCCGGCTCTCCCTCGCGCTGATCTGACTTGCTCTGGTCT